TCTCAAGTCAATGACCCCAATTGGTGTGATGCCATAGCTGCAGAAATCCGTGCCTTGAAAGACAATGGTATATAGACTCTCACTGATTTTCCAGCTGGCAAGAAAGCAATTGGCTATAAATGGATTTACAAAATAAAATACAAGTCAAATGGCACCATCAAACGCTACAAGGCTCGTCTGGTCACCAAGGTCTTCACCCAAGTTGAGGGATTGGACTTTAGGACACTTTTGCGTCAGTTGCTAAAATGGGTATCATGCGATGCTTACTTGCTATTGCAGCCATTAAGAACTAGTCCTTATTTCAACTTGATGTACATAATGCATTTCTTCATGGTGACCTCGACGAAGAGGTTTATATGCAACTCCCTCCCGGCTTCAGCAGACAAGGGGAGTGCACGGTTTGCCAACTTTGCAAGTCCCTCTATGGTTTAAAATAGGCTTCTTGAAACTGGTTTTCAAAGTTCTCTAATGCACTCCTTGCAGCTGGCTTCTCTTAGTCCAAATCTGATTACACGCTCTTCACACTGGGCTTTGCTTCTTCCTTCACTACCATCTTAGTTTATGTTGATGATATCATCGTAGCCGGCAATGATTCCAATGCCATTGCATCTCTCAAAGATCTTTTGCACTCCCAATTTCACATCAAAGATCTTGGGCCGTTGAAATATTTTTTGGGTCTTGAGGTTGCTTGAAATTCTTCAGGCATTTTTCTGTCTCAGTGTAAATATGCGCTTGATATATTATCTAATGTCGGGTACTCAGATTGTCAGCCTTCTGAATTTCCCATGGAGCAGAACATCAAATTACACGAAAACATGCCCACCCTTCGCCAATCCTTCTATTTACCGTTGCTTGGTTGGTCACTTGCAATATCTCACTATTACTCGACCAGAATTGGTTTACTCTGTTAATTTCCTCAATCAATTCATGAACGCTCCACATGAGCTACATTGGAATGTTGCCTTACGTATTTTGCGTTACACCAAGTTCACTGTTGGACATGGCATTTTTCTTAGTTCTAGTGGCCCTCTTACTCTTACTATGATTCAGATTGGGGAGGCTGTTCGTCTACTAGACGTAGGGATGGCAATTTCCCCCATAAAACTGATGCCCCGCCCCGCCCCGAATGGGCAGGTTTTCCCCGACCCTTAATGGGGACAGGGAAAATATCTTTTCCTCGAATCGGGGTTAGTGCGGGGATGGGTTTTGTATATAATTCTCCAAACCCGCCTCTAACCCGAAGGTAAAATTAGTAAAGTATCTCTAGGTTTAATATTGATATTTAAAATATCTCTAAGTTTTCCCTAAATTCTTAAAATCCTAGAATTCCATAATTCCAGTTTTGAAGTACCCCCAAAGTATTATAATTCAATTCCTAAAATACACCAAAATTCCTATATTATATGTGTAAATTGTCCACAAAATAAATAATTTTTAAGAAATTGCCTTGGAGTGGGGAAAATTCGGGGATTACCCGTCCCCGACGGGGAGTGGATCCCCGCCCCAAACCTGCCCCACCACCGGGATGGGGCGGGGATGAGGCAAAGTATCTTGACTTCGGGGCAGGAACGGGGAGGGGGTGCCCCGCCCCGTTGCCATTCCTAACTAGATGGTTTGTTACCGATTATTGCATCTTTCTTGGCTACAACCCCATCTCTTGGAAGTCCAAGAAATAATCCACTGTTGCATGCTCTTCTGCCGAATCCGAATACTGTGCCATGGCCACGACATCATGCAAAATACAACGACTCTCCTTTTTCCTTCATGACCTTGGCCTTTCCTTACAGTCAGTGGTTCTTCATTGTGACAATCAGGCGGCCTTACACATTGCTAACAATCTCGTATTTCATGAGCGCACTAAACATATTGAAATGGACTGTCATTTCATACGGGAATGGATACTATGTGGCTTACTTCGTCCTCAACATATTTCTTCCTATCAGTAGATTGTTGATATATTCACCAAACCCTTGGGACGAGAGGCTTTTCATCACTTCCGGTCCAAGTTGGTTCATACCATCTACTCCCCAACTTGAGGGGGAGTATTACTGATTATTAGAGACTTGCGATAGACTTCATGATAAAGTCCATCGCATGATCCTTACATGCGATGAACTTTATCATGATCTAATCGTTTCCTTATCGTGATAGATTTTATTTGATAGAGTTTTATTGTAACTTAAAGTATTCTCTTAACCTTTAGTGTTGTACACAAACTCAAACTCTAACAGTTGTATTGTACTCAGTATTTCTCTGGTCATCTATAAATAAATCAAGGTCCGATCAAATCATTATCGAACCATTCACTCAAACTATCTGCTATTCAAGTTATCTATATTCACTCAGGTCGATTTGAGTTTTCAGGTTGCGATCTCAGCGATGAATTCTCTCATTCCTTGGGTTGTATTATGCGAAATTCTCTTCACTGCAACTTGAATCCTTGATTTGGGCAGCACCCCTCCTGGGTACGTTCCTCTTCGGTTTAACGTTTTTTGAATCAATCATTGACAAAAGGGTGGTATTTATCCATTTTTTCGAAAATAAAAGGAAGGCTTTTGTTAAAGTGAAATTATAAGAAAGATTTTTGTATTTTACCTAAAAAATATGATTCGATTAGTTGTAAACATTGAATCCCCCTACCTGAAGCCGGCCCATTCCAAAGTCCAACAATCAAATGATTGATGATAGTAGATGGAGCCGCATCGACTTGGATCTTGGCCCAATCCGAAAACAAAAAAAGCAAAAAAGAATTGGCTGAGTAGATCCGGTGGAGATGAGAATGGGGCCTGTCCAACTATTTGTTTTTCTTTTGAGAAATGCAATTATTTGGACGAAGACCCACAAGGATCGGAGTTTCGCATTTAGCATGTTGTAGGCTTAATTTAACTTAGTTAAAATATATGGGTTTTGAGAACAATAGCTAACAAGTATTAAATAATGCCACTAACACCGTGTCACCGTCCTGCTAACAAAAAACTTCTCACAAAGTCACAAGCATTCATTCAACATTCACGGCAAAATAGTTCTATATTTATATGTTTTTTTTTTCATTTACAGTTGTGTATTAAGAATATTCTCGTATTTATATGTTTTTTTTCATGGAAAAATATTTTCGGTGTAAGACTGCAAGAAATCGTGGAAAGGGTGTGAACACAGTCTTGTGAGAGGAATGAATCGATTTCGGAGTCCCCACCGCTATTTCTTAAATTGGTCGATGTCGATCGAAGCCCGGAAGCAAACCGGCGAATAGTGGTGAAGTCCAAGCAGAAGACTAGCCTGTCCAGTGAGATTTTGAGAATTTCACTGATCATGATGGTCATGGCCCAGACCCATATATACACCAATTTATATACTTTCACAACAGTGATGACAACTGAAAGGTTAAATCAAAACTGTCTCGTCTATATGACTTTCCATTGTCTAACTATATACGCATATATAGTCAGAGTCTACTTCCCTCTTATATTAACTTGAATAAAACTATGGGCGGATATTGTAATATTAGCCTTGCAATTTTCATAGACCAAAAAGTGCATATCCTCACACCAACCTCACAACATGTCTTGGCCGTTCATCGAAAATATCTCCCATATCGTATGTATATTTATTAGGGTTAAGTACTTTGCAATCCAATACAGAACTCTGAATGACAACCCCCTATAGTCTATTAATAGCCCCTCCCAATCCCTGTCCCCCTCAAATCACATCCTGCCTGTGAATTTGGCATCAATTCACGAGCAGGATTCATCCCCCTGTTATGGACACATTCCTCGGAAAGACGTATCATCGCCGCAAGCAGCAACAGGAACCTGACCCACCGCCAGATTAAATTAGATCATCTTGCTTGTTCTTATCTTATTCTATTGCTCTTATCTTATCTTATCTTGTTAGTAAGTTATCAGATTAGGATTAGTTTATCTTATTATCAGATTAGGATTAGTTTATCTTGTTATCAGATTAGGATTAGTTTATCTTATTATCAGATTAGGATTAACTTATTTTATCCTTAGCAAGATAGAATTGGAAGTCTCCCTATTTAGCAAGGTGATTCTTTAAGATTATGACTCTTGTAATCTCCTATTTAAGGAGACACCATTATTGAATGAGGATATCGAATATTCAGTCAAGAAAGAGAGTAAAGGAGAATTAGGTGATCTCTTGAACAAATCACCATTAAGGCGCCTAAATAGGTCCATTAAGGAGAATTAGGTGATCTCTTGTAAAGGGTAAAATATGTATTTTGAAAATTTGATTCACCGGTTTAACGTTTTTTGACTTTCTGATTGACGGAAGGAAGATTTTTGTCGAATTCTTTAAAAATCTAGGGGAGGTTTTTGCTGAAGTGAAACTTTAGAGAAGGTTTTTATGATTGTTAGGGGAGGTTTTTGTATTTTACCCTTAAAAAATGGGTAACTTACAAAGACCTCGTTACTATGGTCCATGGCCCATGGGCATAGGGACAATTACCCCTAAACTTTCATTTGTGACAAAGATACCTATGAACTTTCACTTTGCCACATATACTTCTTTCCGTTAGAGTTCCATCATTTTAACTTCGAAAAGAATTCTCCTTCAACATTTTAATTTTTTTTAAATCCCCAAATTACTTTTCTCTTATTTAAATAATTTATAATTCAATTAGTTTTCTAATAGATATAAATTTAAGGTTTCATTTGGTCTTTCTTGATTTATTGGAAAAATGAGTGGATAATCTTTATATTTTAAGACGAAGAGAGACATTCATGTCCAGTGAAATGAAAAAAAAAATTTAAAGAAACTTATTTTTCTCTCTCAATAAAATGGTTCTTGTTATTTTAGTTGTTTCGTTTAAAAAAATTGGAGGTATTTTTGGGTGAATTTGGGTTTAAAGGGTGAGAAAAAGATAATGAGAAAAGTTTAGATGAATATTTTGGTAATTTAGCACAATTTCCAAATGAATTAATGAATATGATAGAATGGGTTGTTGGTAGTTCCCAATTACCCTTAGCCTTAGTGCGGGACAATCAAATGGGCACTAAATGCGGTTGGCAGCTCATGTATTGCTCAACCTTTTCGAATGATTCAAAACTCTTTTGGTTTTTGCCTTTTTGGCGATACCATTACAGGATTCAATCTATTATATATCGATCTCTTCATGTTTATGAAAGAATTTCTTATAACACATGGCTACATGATTGATTGGCTTACCAATAGTCATTGCAAGAGCAAATTCCTTCTCTAAAATGATGGAAGCGATTGTGATCTCTGACCACAATTTCCCTATTGAATACCTTTGATATCAACTTGGTTGCACTGTGGCAATCGGTGCACACTCTAAGGTTCTTAGATATCCTAATCGTAGTTCCAGGTGACGTTCTAATGAGACCAAATGCAATGGCCAACTTCTCGCTGTGGTGAGACACTGACGATTCCTTCTCATCTTCCTCTGCATCTAATCTTGCCTCCGCTGTGTTGGGCACGTAGCCAGCTAATTTGATTCGTGACATTATTCCCTCAATTGCACTATAAATCTCCTTTGAATGTGGATGGGCACTGTCTTCTGCAAAAAACTCATGAATCATTCCATCCAACTCGATCAAGCTACACCCTGGCGTCTTCTTAATCCCCTTCTCCTTCATCTGGCCCCTCACATTTAACGCATCCTCCCACCTCCCAACTGATGCATAAACATTTGACATAAGTATATAATCCCCACTATGTGCAGGGCCCAATGTAACTAGTTGATGAAACGATTTTTCCCCAATTTCAACATTTTTATGAACCTTGCATGAAGCCAATAATGTCCTCCACACAATTGCATTTGGTTCTATTGGCATGTTCTTTATGAACTGATATGCCTCTTCAATCAAACCAGCCCGACCAAGAATGTCAACCATGCAACCATAGTGCTCAATCCTTGGTTCAATGCCAAAATCCCTGCTCATACTGATGAAAAAACTCCGACCCTCTTCCACAAGACCGCCGTGACTGCAAGCAGATAGGACACCAATGAAGGTCACGTCGTTGGGTTGAATCTCTTTTTCCTGCATGACAGAGAAAACTTCTAGGGCCCTTCTCCCTTGTCCATTGCTAGCAAGGCCTTGGATTAGCACCGTCCAGGTCAAGACATTCTTTGAGGGCATCTTCTCAAACACTTCAATTGAGTACTCTACAGACCCACATTTTGCATAGAAATCCATCAGTGCGGTCCCAAGCGTAACGGTGAGCTTCATCCTCTTCCTCTTTATAAAGGAATGAACCCACTTGCCCATTTCCAAGGCTCCCAGGACTGCGCAAGAGGAGAGAACGCTGACCATTGTTACCTCGTTGGGGGCCACATTTTGCCTCTGCATCTCGTGAAACAGACTAAGCGCCTGCTTACATTGGTTAGATTGGCTATAACCGGAGATCATGGCACTCCAAGCAACTACATCCCGTCGAGGCATCTCATCAAACAATTTCCTTGCAGTGTCCACCCGACCACATTTTGCATACATATCTACAAGAGAAGTGATCAAATTGAGACTCCCCTTCAAATTCTTCGCCTCTATATACTCATGAATCCATTCCCCCAATTCCAAATCCCCCAATCTACCGCATGCGGTAAGAACACTAATCAGTGTAACCTCGTCAAATTCAACATCAGACTTGAGCATTATATCAAACAAATTCACGACCTCCTCCCAGTGCCCACTCTTAGTGTACCCTGCGAACATGGCATTCCAAGTAATTATTTCCTTCTCTAACATTCCATCGAACACCCGACGAGCGACTTCAACCTCCCCGCAATTTGCATACATATGTATCAAAGTGTTCTGAACAAACCCATAAGACCCGAGACCGAATTTCGCTATCTGCGCATGGATTTGCTCACCTTCTTCCAAGGCCCGCAGTCTGGAACAAGCTTTTAAAATGCAAGGAAATGTGTATTTATCGGGTAGGACTCCATCTTCTCTCATTTGCCTGAATAGCATCAATGCATTTTCAGGGAATTGCTTTGATGTAAAACCTCTGATCAAGATGTTGTAAGCAGCGGGGTTGGGTTCATCGATTACACGGAAGATAGAGAGGGCGTAATCCATGCTACCGGGGAGAAGGATGGCGGAAGACTCCAGGAGGTTTTCGGCGACTCGGGGGTTGAAAAGGTAACCGGTTTTGATCACATGGGCGTGGATTTGGTTTAAATCTTTGATGGTTTTGCATTGTTCTAATATCAGGGTCTTAGGGTTGTCGGGAAATGGTGAGACGGTAGCAGCGGTGGTTAGGCTTTTGGCGGAAAACAGAGAAAGAGCAACAGCCATGCTTATTTCCTGTTGGCCGCTGCCTGGGCTGCGGGTGCCCGGTGTGGGAACTTATCAGCTAACAATGCTCCTTGATGAGCATAGTGGTTAGTACAGTTGTCAAACTTGCATTCGTCATTATGCCTCATACACCGTACATCAGGAATATTATTTCCTGCCCATGATAACTAACACCGGATCAGAGGATCACACAAAATATAATACTCCTGAAGTTCCTCAGCACTAGTAGTAAGATGTGCGTGTGAGCTCAGTGTGAGGCGCCCTATATGAGGAGCAAATCCGGTCTCCACCGCGTTACAGCACATTCCAACCGTGTATTGAAGCACCTTTCATGACAAATGGTAGATATTCGCAATATATAGTTGGGATGTACTGTAGGGCACCCTCTGTGGGGGCGCAGAAATAAACTCGTCTCGGTCCCGGTACTACTGGCACTGGGCCGTCCTCAAAACATTTTCAATTTTCAGAATCTCAGGGCAGTTAAGCTGAATTAATATTGCAAAATTTATACGTTAGCCCATACCTGTTACTGGGCCATGTTAGGCCCAATTGTCATAGTTTAAAATTTATGAATCCAAACCAAACGGTCAAACGGCCCAAACCTGATTGATTATATTAGGGCTGTTCATAAGAAGGCCCAACCCGACCAAACCGATCAACTCGAACTGACCCAACCCGAGTCAGCTGGGTTTTCCTCAGCATGGGTCGGTTTCGGGTTGTATAAATTCCTAAACCGATGATTCGGGTCAGTTTCGGTTTTCACACAAGAAAATCGAAACCGACCCGAACTGAACCGACTTAGTTCCTAGTTCAAACATGAAGTTCCAAAACCCATTAGGCCACCTAGTTTTTGAATGGTTGCAAGAAACTTTGGATTAGTGAATAGTGATTAATGAACAATTTTTGTGATTAACTTTTCATTTAAATTTTATCATAGGAGATGGCTGAAATGATGTTCAATTTATGACTATTTTTAAAATTAGCAAGATTTTATCACAGGGATGAACTTAGAACCGAAACCAACCCAACCCGACTCAAACCAATCAGGTCGGTTTTACTTAACACTGGGTCGATTTCAATTTCTATGTCAAGTAACCCGACCAGGTCGGGTCGGTTGGAAAAATCACAATAAACCGACCCAACCCGACCATGAACAACCCTAGATTATATGACTGTGAGAGCGAAAAATGTGCTCCAAGCCAAAATGCAAGAAACTCCCAAGTCTGGAAATCAGAACCGAGATAATGAAAGCCCCATCCAGATCCTAAGGTCAACGATTGATTGAAAATACTGATCATGCAATGTGATTTTTAATTTAATCCTTCTCTTATCATTTGCGCAAAACAATATTTATATGTGAAGCTTAGAAGGCTCACCGATTCCAGAGCATCACAGTCCAAGGTTTTTAGGAACCGTAGCTTTTTTTTCTTGTTAAACTGTTCAACCCTAGCCCCTTAGGTCGTAGCTGGACAAACTCATTTTTTAATTTTCTTCCTCTCTTATAACGAGTCATCTATTTCTAAAGATTAAGATTAGTTGCAAGGCCAAAACAAAAGGGAGGAAATGGCCACAGAAAAGATTTCCTTGTGAAGCCAAGCAAAGTTGAACCGAGTCCCAATCCCTTAATTCCCTTAAATCTTTTGAGCTGTATCTGGTTTGAAAGAAAATGTAATGAAAGGAAGGGGAGAGACTTGTTTGGTTCAAACGGGAATCAAATTTACAATAGGAATAAGTTAGAATATGATTCTCATTTCCAATGGAGGGAATGATTATTCCTTTAAATGGGGGAATGTCATTCCACCAGAATCCTATTTAAGTTGAAGTAATGGTGATTCTCAACAGTCTAGAGGTTTTGAGTATGTACAAAGAGGAAAATATTGAAGTGGAATCGTGACTGTCAACTTTTGGTGCAAGTACTTAAAACTAGAAATATGGGTTCAGTTTCGGATGCAAACTTTCTATTTTTAGATATAAAGCTATTGACTAATGATTTAGCTATCTCTTTTGGATATGTAAATAAATCTTGTAATACTGCAGCACACGTGCTTGCTAAGAAAGATCTAGTTGAGTTTGGGTTATTTGTCCAGGATCCACTGGAGTGGATTCAAGCTCTATCGAACCAAGACTTAGCTAGACCTTAACTGGTTTTGTCTTGTATATTGTGACTGCGTTTATTATTAATGATATCAGCTTGCTAATCTTTTACCAAAAAAAAAAATGGACCCTAAGATCAGATCTGCGATTATTGTTTATGGGCAGCAAGATAAATTGGAGGGGAAGAACTCCAATCCTGTAGAAAAGGGACAAATTCCAATTCCAGTATTCCACCCTGGACACGTCCAATGATGTACTCAACTAAACTGAAATTCGGTCGATCCGCTGAGGAATAACATTGTTCAGGCGCTGGTTTGATAGAAACCACTATGGGGAGGAGATGTTGGTAGAATTGTAGCAAGAGCCATTAAATTACCATCCTGTGTTCTTCTGCTTAAGTGACAGCGATGATTTTAACATTGAAGTCGAAGGAGGTGCTTTATTAGTGTCTAGTGTGAGGGCATGTGTACTGGTAAGAGATAAAGATGTAAACTAATACTATATAATTAATCAAACATATTTGTGTATTTACATGTAATATAAATTGTAATTGAAATATTAGTTAAATCTGCTGAGTTGGAGAGTTGGTTATAATAATTAACTTTTCTCTATATATATGGTTGTATATCTAAGATGGAATGAACAAGAAAGAAATAAATCTTTCTCTCAACTTTTCTCTATATACAAGGATTGATTATTAGGAGACTTTTAGCCTTGTTGCAAAACAAACTACTGTGAGGGTGTTTCTTGCTTTGGCAATTCATTTTGGTTGGTATCTGGCTCAATTTGACATTAACAATGCTTTCCTATATGGTGATTTGGAGGAAGATGTTTATATGGATCTTCTTTTGGGTTATGCTGTTGATAAACCTCCTCACTGTCCAGCAGGATCCAGACTAGTGTGCAAACTAAATAAATCATTGTATGGTCTTAAACAAGCATCAAGACAATGGAACACTAAATTTTCTACAACATTGTTTGAGTATGGTTTTGTTCAATCAAAGGCTGATTACTCTATTTTTACAAGGTCCACTGCTGAAGGATTTATTGCATTATTAGTTTATGTTGATGACATTGCTATAGCTAGTAACTCCACTGCGCTCATTGCTGATCTCAAAATGTTCCTTAGCTCCAAGTTTAAATTTAAGGATTTTGGTTCATTGAAGTACTTCTTAGGTCTTGAAATTGCAATATCTGACAAGGGGATTGTAGTCTGGCAAAGAAAATATGTGTTGGACATGCTGAATGACCATGGGAAATTAGGCTGCAAACCTGTCTCTATTCCCATTGATCATAATCATAAGTTGGCCAAGGATAGTGGTACTCTTCTTGCTGATGCTTCATATTACAGACAGTTGGTTGGGAAGTTGATTTATGTCACTTTCACTCGTCCCGACATCTTTTATGCTGTGCAGATTTTATCTCAATACATGGATAAACCTACTGATCTTCACTTACAAGCTGCACATCGTGTGTTGAAATACTTGAAATCTTCCCTTGGAGTTGGCATTTTCTTCTCTGCAGGTTCTTCTACACAGTTGAGGGCTTTCTTTGACAGTGACTAGGCTGGTTGCCCAGATACAAGGAGATCCATTTCTAGCTTCTGTATTTTCTTGGGTGATTTTTTGATCACATGGAAGTCTAAGAAGCAGAATTTGGTGGCATGAAGTTCAACTGAGGCGGAGTATCGCGCTATTGTAGCCACTACTTGTGAAATGATGTGGCTTTCTTCTTTGCTCACTAATTTTCGCATTACAGTTTCATTACCTATCTCGTTACATTGTGATAATCATTCTGCAATCTATCTTTCTCATAATCCTGTGTTTCACGAGCGGAGTAAACACATTGAGGTGGATTGTCATTTTGTTTGGGATCAAGTTCAAAATGGTTTCCTGCATTTCCTGTATTTGCCTTCTTCTGATCAGGTGGCAGATGCATTCACCAAGGCTTTGCAACCTTCACATTTTCAGCGCTTAATAGGCAAGATGAACATGCTCAATATCCATATTCATCTTGAGGGGGGCTAATACAAATTGTAATTGAAATATTAGTTACACATGCTGAGCTGGAGAGTTGGTTACAATAACTAACTTCTCTCTATATATATGGTTGTATATCTAAGATGGAATGAACAAGAAAGAAAGAAATCTTTCTCTCAAGTTTTCCCGCTTATTTTCCTACTCTCTGTTTTTTTTTCATCTCTGTTAACATGGTCCATCTATTGCTCCCAATTTTTTAATTGATTATTTATCTTTTTGAAAAACCGATTCTCTGTAGTCAGGATTGTGTTATGAGCAGTTGATGAAAATTTTTTCTTCCGCCTTGTGGCATAAAAAAAACCAAAAAAAAAGGAAAGAGAAATACAAATACGTAATGAAGGCTCATTTGAAAGGAGTACAAATACAAATACAAATACGTAGAGTGTAAAATCTTATATTTTGTATTATTTTTTATGTATTTGCACTACACATATTTGTATTTATATTCTTTCCAAACTGAACCGGTCTGTTTTGTTTGTAGTACAAATTTGAATCATATACAAATTTTGTTACACGTCCAGTTTTGTTTTCATTTGTTTGTAACTATGATTTATATTCATACCTGATACAAAATTTGCACTCTTGTCTCATTTGCACTTATTAATGATGCAAATTTTGCATCCTAAAAACTGATGTAGAATTTGCACTGCAACCTTCTTCCTACCTCAATTCTCTTTCATAAAAAGTGGGAACCACATCATGTTACTTCCTATCTCATTCCCAAAATAATCCTCCTACCTACACTCTCTTTCATATAAAGTGGGAATAACATCAATTTTGCTTTCTATTTTACTTCAACAAATAGTTCAATTTCAAATCTGAAACAAAAGAAAACCACAATTTACATTCACCCTTTTTGCACTCCCATAACATCTATACCGGTGCAAATAAAATTCACACTCCAAACAAACTGAGCCTAAGTATGCAGTCATCATCTTGAATTTGTCAAAAATTAACTCCAAATTATAATCAAAACAACGATCTTATTATAAACCTTCTTTA